TTAAAAGATTTTGTTGAATAATATGAACAACTATTACTAAGTTGTTTGATCTCAATGTGCAAATTAGAAAGGGTAAAAAGTATGCAATCAGTTCCTTCCTCTAACCAGAGACAAAGTTTTTTTTAATTTTCAAACATAGTGAGATCTAATGGTCGTCCGCGTTGGTTATTGCTTTTAGGTAAAAGTCTGATGCTGTTCATACACGAAATATGATAGATCGCTTCTTCGGCGACAAGATCATAACAAGACATCAAACGAGAACGTACAGCATTTCCCTAATTGTCTCCTCTTTTCAAAGACCGTTCACTCATTTTGTTAATCAATGATATGATACTCAACTTTAGCAATCGGTGAATGTTTGCAGTGTACAAAAAAACATTTTGATTTCCAATCAAATACCTCTTCAAATGAGGATTGTAGTTTTTTTCTTGGTGCAGATAATTTTTGATTATTAAGACAATCAACAAACTTTCTTTTACAGCTATGATACACTAGTTCTGTTGTACTATTATGCGTGTTCTGTCGCTACTGGTCTTTACGATAACTAAAAATGTGCAAATTAACTTATCAGGTATGTTCTTTTATCCCAAACCTTTTTAATTAATTGTGACTCTATCCATTCGAAAACGTTTCCTTGAAAACAATTTTTATGAAACAAAAGTAATGATTAAATTTTTTGCAGTAAAGATTTATCTTTTGAAAGCAAAAAATCTAATTAAGTTTTGAGCGGCTTAATCTTTTGACAATTTTTTTTTCATATAAATATTGTTCAGCATAAAATTTTCTATTTAACGATATATATAAATATGTTTATGATGTTTTGGTGCTGTCGAAATTCGTTTTTTTTTTTGCCTCAAAAGGGATGTTCCCGTAGCGGAATCAATGGGGCTTTTTTTACGCTCATCAAGAGATTGACACTGCAAAATTTCAGCTTTATACTATTTTTGTCAGGGTCAATTCGTAATTTTCTTTGACTGTAAATAAAAATAACTCATGAAAATTATTTCAAAAAAAGTAAGTAGGGTGATTGTGTAAGAAATTTTTCATTATTATGCTAAGATGAAATGCACGAAGTGTGATAATGATGGCAATCACGTTTACATCAGCATCGTTACCATAATAAAACTTGGTTATTCAGAGTTACACCTTACGAATAAAAATTATTTTATAATTAACGAGTTATACTTAAGTTATACTTAACGAAAAAAAAAATTCTAATCAGAGTTCTCCGAAGATAAAAATATCATAATACGCTGTTTGCCACCAGAAAAAAAGTTAGATTCATATATTGTACATGTGTATATTACCATATGGCACTCCGGATAACGTGCATATTGGCAGTACTTGCACAAAGAGAGTAAAGCCTACCATTAAACCTATTGTAAGTTTTAGAGACAGGACATCAAATGCAGAAGCTATGACACTCGCATTTATTTGTGAACACAATCTTCCAATATCTTTACATCCCATATGACTGAATACGCAAAGGAAATGTCTAAAGATCATCGTGTTTTAAAAAATTTGAAAATGGTGTCACATACAACACTCCAAAGCAAAGGGTTTGCCATCGATAATTGTCTGTTTTAGATTGCACTCTTCCTATGCTTGAGATGATGCCTGCTTTCACCTTAATTTATTCTTCTTGGCTATTAAAACAAGACATCTCTCTGTATAAAGATGAAAGTGACATAATTTTAAAGAGGCTATCAACTGAAAGTATGAAACTAATAGAAAAAATAAAATGTAAAATGCAGCAGAAAAAACTAACAAAACAAAGGTGCAGAAAGAAAAGCTAGAATTGTTAAATATTTATTTTTCCGACGTAATAAAACATTACTTTATATTAATTTGTACGTTGAAATTCTTCCTATTTTTAAATCATTCATTTTAACTTTTGAACAAAAAGAACCGTTAGTCCATCGAATTTATGATGAGCAAATTGAACTAGTGAAAACAATTTTAACTTGTTTTATTAAGCCAAAGATGATAAAAAATATAACAGGAGAAAAGTTGAAGTTTTTAAACCTGAAAGAAAAAAAAATGTTTCGCCATTCGAACTACATATACCTTTGAAGTAATGCTGAAAAATATTTGTCAAGAATACTTATTCGAAATCCTGATTTCAAATCATCGTTTTTAAAGACCTTGCTAAAAGCTTACCTTGAGTCGTCAGTTTACTTACTTAATAAATTACCCTTTAACAACCCTTTATTAAAATGCCTCTCTGCGATCGACCCAATGTCTCAAGGTCACGAAATTACAGAGAGAATGCTAAAAAAACTCTCAACTTCTCAATGCAACTAAGGCATAGAACAAACAGACTCGTAAAAAAAAAAGCCGATAATTTTAATCAAATCTGATTGGTTGTTAGTTCAATCCTAAGAACTTTATCTTTATCGGTATTTAATTTATGCAAACAAATAATTAATAATGGCAAAATATTATAAGTAACCGAAGCGTCTCTGATCGTTTTGCTGGAGATATGTCAATGTTATTACAAAGATATCTTGTAGCGTTTGTTTGACATGATTTGTGAACCTAATTACAATTTAATACATTTGTGTTGGTATATTTATGAACAATATGTTATTTTTAAAAGCAGCTGAAATAACTTATGCAATATATGTCATTCTGTGCTGTGCTATCAACAAAAAATATTTTGTTTTGATACATTACTGAAGCCATAATACCTATTTGTATCGACTTAGTATTCAAAGATTTAACTGTTTTTATAAAAAATAAGTTAAAAGTAACTTATGTTACTTTTAAGTTATTGTTATAAAAACAAAAGAAACCAATTGTCTATTATTTTCTTGAAAGAAACATAAACTTATGGAGGTACTAAAAATTTATGTCTATATTTTATAAGACTTTATTAACAATATTTTGATGCATGAGTTATGATTTCATTGTTCATTATTTATGCCATATAATTTTATTTATATAATATAGTATTTTCTTTCATCAAGTTATGCGCTAATCTCAACAAAAAGTAGCATAAAAGACAAGCTTTCTTTTTTCAACAAAATATATATATATATATATATATATATATATATATATATATATATATATATATATTTTTATATATATATAAACTATATGTATACATTACTAATAAATACTTTTAAAGTTTATATTTTTTAATATTAATTGTGTTATTAAACAAATTTATTGCTGATATTTCCTTGTCTTTAAGATTAACTACATTTGTTTTTGATTTTGTTATGTTATTGGTGTTATTTGATAAATGAATTTCATTGAAAGAAGTTGCTACGGGTTGATATCTTTTAAAAACTTTATTGGTGAAGTGATTTCCTTAATAGGTTGAACATAAGGCTTGGTTGAAACATCAGATAAAAAGGGGAGTACTGGTTGCTTGGTCCATACTTAGGTTCTTTGATCTGATTATTTTTTGCATCTGAATTGAACTTTCTTTTTCTGGTTCCTCTGTTATTTGTGCAAAATGAATAAAAGAATCATTGGTGCTGGTTTGAATTTTTGGGTTTTTATTTTCTAAAACTATATATTTTTTTAAAGAGTTACAATTAACAACTTGAGTACCCTCGTTCGACTCAATCTTGATCTTTTGTGCAGGAATTTTAGTTTTGTTCAACAAACATTCATTCCAAATGTTCTTAAGATTGATATATTCAGACATTAATGTGGATGAGCGAAAATGATGTAGCTGCAATTTTGATGAAATATTACTTATTTTATCTTTAAATGTTATTCCATTTTTTGACTCAAACCACCAAATATTATTACCTTCTGACAAGTAGTCTGATATCCGCTCTAAATGACCTTGCCATATCCATGGATACATTTCAATAATCCAAAATGGAATTTTTGTTTCTGTTCGTTCATAATCTTTTACTATCTTTCTTATTGCATGTTGATGGTTTTGAGTTTTGCAGCCCTCATTGAAGCTTTTATGACATTGTAGTCGAAGCAAGGTGTTTAATATCACATGCTCACTATTGTGGTTTGTAGTTGAACTGTTTATAGTTTTAATTGTATTAAAAGTTCTTTCCTCTTCTTCAGCATTTGCTGATATTCCAGAGATTATTCTTAACATGTGTGGGGCATGTACTATTAGGTTATGTTGGTATTTGCCATACATTTTTCGCTGTGAAACTGCTATTGGTTTGTCCTTTATAAGTTCTTTTAAATAAATTGAATGCAAAAATGTTTGATTGTAAAGAAACAAAATATTTTCAATTGTTCTACTGAGTTCATTACCATACAGTATGCCTTGAATGTAAAACATTGTTAATAAAACATTATAAGCTCTTGAATCAGTTTTTCCTTTCAATGTCAAAACTAATTTACTTAAACTTTTGCGATAGTCAATGCCACGTTTGCAATCTTTGTTGTCAAATGATAAACTCACCATTTCCTTAAACAGTTTTCGTTCAATAGTATTTAAATGAGAACTGATTTCTTCATAAAGATTAGATGTGTGACCTTTCACATCATGTAATGGTTCACATGGCAAGATTTCATATTTACTTAAATAAAGCTTTTCTAAGTCATCGAAATCCTCATTAAACAGCAAAGCTGGTAATCGCTGCATGCCATGCATTTCATTATCAAGTTTTTGCTGAAGAATTTTTTTGTGTGATTTATATTGAAAATATATTCCTCGTTCATTAAGTTCATCAATAATTTCATGTTTTGGTAAGTTTTTGTACAGTTTAGTTTGCTGTTTGTTTATTTTATTTCTGCTTATTTGAGTAAGTGTGAGCTTCTTTACTCTATTTTCTATACTCAGCAGAGGTTGATAAAATGAATAAGCTGTATCATAAGAGCGATTTATGTTAATTGGACATGCACAACAAGGATAATCACCTCCTTTTTGCTGTCCAATCTCAAACTGACAGGCAGGTGCATCACCATGAAAAAAACGCATTATATCATTAATTTTTTCAGCATTTATATCAATAAACTCTCCTAACAGTCTGTTATCTTCATTTCTGGTACTTGTGTACATAAGCTGTTTATCTGTTGATGAACAACGTTTCTGGTACTTGTGTACATAAGCTGTTTATCTGTTGATGAACAACAAATATATAAAGTTCAGGTTTTTCAATCTGAGCTTGAACGTCAATTTTTTTACCATGAATTTCAAAATACTCCTTTTCAGTGTAATATATTGCTTTATCATACACACAGTTCACCATAAACAGTAAATGTGAATGGTTGTTTACAGTAGATCCATCATGCCAAACTTGTATGTGTCTTCTTCTGTTAAAATATAATAGTTTTTTTCGCAAATCCTGAAGTTTGTGAATGCTATTGTCGTTTTCATTTAAACGATTTAGTTCTTCTTTAACCTTGCCATCGCTCATTGAATTTATTTCAGATTCTGAATGTAATCGCATAAAACATTTGTGCTTTTCAGCAAGTGTTTTTCTGATATGATTAAGAGGGATTTTTCTACCTGCTACATCTACCTCAGTAGTTTTAAAAGATTTATCATCAGTTATTGTAAGGATTTGGAACTTTTGTGGTATAATTAATTCACCAATGGTATATTCTCCTTTAGACACTTTCTCTTTTATATTCAACTTAATTTTTTTTATTGTTGGTTCAGCAGGTATACTAATATCTGTTGCATGAATTTTCTTCTTACATCGTCTTATTATTCTATTTCCTTGGCCTTTATATTTCAAACAACTTAAGTCAACACCTTTACTTGATAGAAACTGTTTTACAATTTGACCCCCATTTTTAGCTATCTCACCATTACTGTAAATAACATTGTATTTTTGTGCTAGCTCAGTAAAATTGATTTTTGTACCTGGCACATAAGAAACTACCTCCTTCCAACAATCATTTTCATTCCATTTATTTGTGTAGTTTCCAGTATGATCTTTAAGTTTATTTGGATTTTTTTTTTTCATTACGAACTTTTAAGTTTGCAAAAGTTTCAAAGCTTTGATTCATTCGTATTTTTGTAGCCTTCCGCAAAGATATTTCAGTTCCAAATGCCCTATAAATAAAATATTTTTATTTATTTAAGAGGATTTTTCAATTTGGAAAATACAAAATCTCAATTTGAATCTACTAAATAAAGTTATATAAAAAACAGTTTTAGCTTTTTAAAGATTATGTACCTTACAGCTGCTGTTTCTTCAAAGCATTTTTCAACACTGCATTTGAATAACCTTGCATATTTATTGCGTAATTTTTTTGTGTCAGTTCTTGATGGTTTCTGAATTAAGTTTGAATCAGGTATGAGGGGTATTGCATTTGTCATTGGCATAAAGTATTGTTTTTTAAATTTTCTATTTGCTTCATCCAATAAAGTACTTGCGCAACTTATTAAATTTTCTTTGTTTCCAGTTGCGATTTCAATTGACAAAAGATAACTTGCTTTTTTATTGTAAAACTTAGTGTTTGTTGGGATTAAAGATAACACATTTGCATTAAGCTTAACACACTCTTGACAGTTGGAAAACCTGTGTCGACATTTTTCTGTTAAACTAAGTTTAATCCATGCATTTAAAGAAAATGTGTCCATTATTATCTTCTTTTTTGCACTATGTCGTTTAGAAAGATAACATAATTTTGCCTTAATCTTAGGAAAATTTCGACGATGGATATCATTAGAGACAGCAAAATTTTCTTTTTGACAGCTGAATATTGAATTATATTCATCAATTCTTTGCTGTAAGGAAGCCTTTGACATCAGCAGGTTAAACACAATAACTTTGACATAACCACACGATAATGGATCTATTATAGACATAGTGATGATCTATAAAGTTTAAAGAGTAAAAAATATTATATTAACTGATATCACAGTCATTCCATACTTTAATTTAAAAAGTTGATTGCATTTATTTTTAGAAGCAATGAAACTAACTTGTTTATAAAGTTTATATGCTGCTGATATGAAAATCAAAACTAACTTGTTTATAAAGTTTACCGCCTCTTTTTTCAAATTGTTGACGCATTCTGCTGAATGGAATAAATTATTTTTTTAAGATGCCGAATAAGTCCCGAGTATTTCAAAAAATGAAACTAAATACCGAAAACAGTTTTTTAATTGGGGCTTAAAGTTGTGAATATTTATGTAAAAACGACTTTTGCAGAAACATTAACACTACCATAGTTTATCTGAATCTAATTTGACATTATTGTTAAAATTATTCATTTAGGTGTGGTTTTGAAAATATTAACTTCAATTTTCATAAAAAAATAGTTTTTCATGGATATTTTCCCCAAATAATGTCTAATCGTAAATGTCACGTTACATTCATTGAAAACAAACACTAAGACATGCTTTTATGAAAAAATCAAATTTATAGACTCATCTATAGCCAAGCCCCACGGTACTTTATGTTGAGAATTACATCTTTTCTAAATAAAACTACGCTTGACGATTTGTTAAAGTCGCATTACTTTTACCAGATTATAATAGTGGTTAAAAAAATCTTTCCAAACATACCAAACATGTCATACTTTTTGACAAAAAAATTTACATATATTGCAATTGAAAAATCTTACATTTTTGTTCGAAAAAACGTGTACCAGGCCTTAGTTGCATTGAGTTCTTTCCCTCTGTAGATATAAATAAAGTAATATTTAATCGAGAAGTTATGCAGCTTCAGATAGATATAGCGCTTCCACCCGTATTTGATGATGGGAAGCCCGTACGTCTTGACTATTGGTGGGCTGAAGTTTTTAAGTGTGAAAAATATTTAGAGCTTAGTAAGATTATCAAGGTATGCTTAAGTATTTTTAGTAGTCCTCATGTTGAGCAATCATTCAGCATGATGAACACCATAGTTAACAAAAAGACAAACCATCTTGATACTTTAACGTACTCTGCTATAGCTTCAGTTAAGTATCAATTATTAGCAAACGAGACCACAGCAGTAGTATACTTTAAAAGCAAACGAGACCACAGCAGTAGGGTACTTTAAAAGGCGAGATATATTGCATGACCCAGTTAACAAAAATATCTGTGGTCATTTGCAAACTGCAAGCAAACGCTTTTATAAAAAAATGAAATTCCATCGGAAAAATAGAAAAGTTGAAGAAATATTTTTAAATATAAATTCAACGTCAAAAAAAAAATTGCCTTACAGTGCAAAAAAGTTAAAGAATCTATTATTGATCATGCAAAAAAGTGCAGAAAAAGAAAAGCTGAGGAATGCTTCACAACAGAAAATTATAAGAAAAAAAAGTATTGATTCCTGACATTTATTCCATTGTCTCACATTTTATATTTTAAATATTAAGAAATTATTGCGCTTTGCAGGTTGCTTATGTTAAAACAGAGATATTATATTTCATTTTAGAGAAACATAATGAGTAGTTTTTAGTTTCTTTATTTATCCCTCTACCAACGTTCCAGAATTTACCCACATATCTTCGTCAATTTCTTGACCCTAAATTTTTCCGGGATTTTCCAGAATTTTCATGAAAATGACTTTCCGGGATTTTACGGGATTTTCAAAGAAAAAAATTTCCGGGATTTTCTTAAAGTCAAAAACTCATCTATGTAGATTTGAAAATAGCGGGAAACGTAAGCAAACTTTTTGTTAATGTTGTATTTTTTCAATCGATTTTATTTGTACATGGATTTCATATCAAACTATCTTTACCTACTGTTTATTATAGAAAGAAGACGTATCGGTTTTAGGAGATACAACCCTTTTCTAAAACGGGAGCGATATGATCATCGGACAGAGGGAATTTAAAAATATATGTGAAGAGGGACTTTTGATTTCTGCTCATATAAAGAATGATTTTTTTTCTTTAGCAAAAAAAAAAAAAAAATAAGCACCGCCTATCAATATATTAGTGTTTTAAATCTTGAATCAGGTTTGGCCAGGAATGTTTGCGAAAACAAGCCTTTTTATGACCACGCAAATTATTTTTGGTTTTGACTATTTGGTGTTTTAACGGTTTCAAAAAATTTTAAATTTTGCTAAAAAAAAAAAAAAAAGCGACTTTAAATACGTTAAAATAAATAATTTCGACGCGTTTATTTTGTACTAAGGTTTTTTAATAGCAAAACGCTTTTTATTAGTTTAAAATCATTAGTTTGTTACAAATAATTTTAATTGAAGTATTAATAAAAGTTGTTTCAATTTTTTATATATTATTTAATAATAAAATTATTTAATAATAAATATAAGTTAAAAAAAAAGGTTATAAACTTTATAAGCGATACCTTTAAACAACGATTGTCTCTTTAATAAACTTTAAATAAAAAACAATAAAATAAATACACCTGAAGAGAACAAGATTTTGATGAGAAATTTTATATTATCGAAAACACATTGAAATAAAGTAACAAATCTAATGACTAATAACTTTTTGGATTTACATGAGTATGCATTTTTTGAGTCTTTAAGTAAAAAATTTGTCTATAAAGTGTATCTATATAGTAAAAAAAGCAAACTTTTCAAAGAAAACTTATAATAATTAATTCTTTTTTTGTTAACGTTACTGCGAAGAATTGTTTATAATCTTTTTTATAACTTCATAATGGGAGTATTTGTTAAACTATGGTTAAAGACAAGCTGTTACTTTATTTAAAAAAGTTTGGCTTAAAATATAAGTTTTATAAAGTATTATTTAAAAGTTTGGCATAAGGTATAAGTTTTATAAAGTATTTATGTAATGTTATAATAATAACAATTTTTATGAAATATATATTTTAACGTGTTATATATGAATGTTAAAGGTGAAATATGTTCTTTTTCTAAAAGTAAATATCTTCAGATTAAACGCGCCCAAATATTTTATACCACAATTCAATTTATAAAAGTGCTTAAATTTACTTTAGTTAGTAAATATTTTTACAATACTTTAAAATATCAAAACACTTTTGAAGAAGATATGGATATTGACTACAAAACTGAAATAATTTTACTAGGTTGCTTATAAATGAAATAATTTTACTAGGTTGCTAATAAATGACTAAAAAGATGCTAAAGATGATGCGTGGATTCAGCCACAACATATTAAAGAGCTAAATCAACTTGATTTAAAAATTAGCTAAACTCAATACAAGTTGCATATATGACTGCAAAGGTAGATTATTAGTATATTTAAGTTTTATAATTTGATATCATAGCTTACATACCTGGTTATAACTATTCCTTTTTACAAGAAGTGGAAAATAATCTACAAAGTGGAAAAAACTTACAAATAATTATACTTTAATTTTAAATTTAAACACTAACTACTATTCAAAAGAACTATGATAACAATGACTAAAACTAATAAATATCAAAAAATATTTAAACTTTAAAACTGAAACTTATACTGAAACAGTAGCTAGCGTATTTTAAATAATAAGAGCTAACTATTTTTTAACAAAACTACTAATTTAACTGCCTGAAGTAAGAAGAAGCAAATAATTTAAGACATAATTTAAATAATCAGAATACTGAATCCAAATAATCTTACTTCCAGATAGAGAAATATTAAACAAATTTCTTACAAAACTATTTAAACTTATATACAAACGAGAAGTCTGTAAATAGTTTGAATAGTTTTTGTAAAGGAAAAATATTATATACAAATTAAAGTATGATCACACTTGTGTATTTATATAAACCCATGCAAATAATAGCAACACAAAATCTAATGAGATATTTTTAAATATATAAAGATAGTATATAAAATATAATAAGAGTTAAAAGTTCATAACAGATGTTATATGATAAAACAGATTTCAAATAATTAACTATTTTTTTGAGAAAATAGTTAAAAATAATTACTACATAACTTGCCTAATAATTTTTACATTACTATTTTCTGTAAAAAAAAAAAAAGAAAATATAAAGCAGTACCTTTATTCATGTTTGAATAAGAACATTAATTAAATAAGAAAATTAATTACCGAAATGAATTTATATAAAAAATGTAGATATTTTTATTAGCTTATTATGTCACTTAAATATTATGTCATATTATATCACATATATCTTCTTTAAACAATATAATATGAACGAGGGTCGTTCTGACAACAAAACAATGTTTTACGAGGCCACATTAACTTGGGAACCCCCCTTAAATTTTTGCTAAATAACAAAAGTCTGTAAATTCTTATAGTGTAATTATATAAATAGTTGTTTATATATCTACATAAAAATAATAATTATAATAATAATAATATACAAATTTGTTGAAGGAACAAAAATTCAATTTTATTAAAAATTAGTCAACTAGATCCGTTTATTACATATTTTTAAAGCCTTGGTTATTATAGCGACACCGCATTTCAAA